ATGTTTCTTGGAAAGTGTAGTGTAAAATATAACAGGTAGAAATATTTCCAAAGAAATTACATAAATCTGCTTTAGTTGCCCTTTATATATATCTGCACTATCAATTTACACATTTCCCTTAAAATAAGTTTTACAGAATATGAGTAATTTAAGTAACACAGTAAGCTCAGCATTCTGCAAAAATACAAAAAGAATCATCTCTAGTTCCAAAAATCACGCCTCTACCTACAAATTAGCCACAATTAGGTGTGCTGACATAAGCATATTGCACTATCAAATACTGGAAATTCTGCAAGAATTAAAATGTTATGAGTATATGGGAACAAGATAATCCAAACAAACTGGACATTCTTAAAAGTCATTATCCACAACATCTTGAAAAACCCACATAAAGTATCTATGGCAAAGAAAAAAGAAATTCCACCCAAGACCAATAAATGGATACTCCAGCATCATACCTTAGGGGAAAAAAATGCTGGAAGAGCTATCCATATAAGAATTTATTTTTGGATACCTAGACAGACTTTAATGCCATATTCAAAATGAAAAATAAATATCCAGCCATAGAAAAATATCATATTGTGACAGAGAAACTAAAAGAACCCCATGAAAAATTGCTTTATTCACTCTTTTTCCTGCTTCCACTCTTGCTGAGACCTGCACCTCAGCCCTTACACACGCCATATAGAACACAGAATAGATGTCCTGCTCGTAAAGGTCAACTATTTAATGATTTCTTTGGACTCTTCGAGCACAATAGATAACATCGAAGAAGTTACTACTGGGCAGGGTCATCATGAACATTTTCTAAGACCACTGACTCCACAAGACCCTTTGCTGCAGGGCACAGATGATTTAAAGAGAATACCTAAATCCTATTCTTTGTTTCCAGATTATCAAGAAGACATGTATACCGACCACCAACCTCAATAAAAATTCCAGGCTCCAGGCAAAGATAAGACTCACTCTTCCTTCCTTTCACAGTCCCCCCAGAAGCTCTGTCAGTATCTACACTCTATACCTGCAAAAAACTCTGCTCTCACCTCCTCTTGGCTCCAGTTTGATTTTTATCCTGCATGAAATTAAGGCCCCACTTGGCTGGTCCTGTGGAAACCTCCCTCTGGGTCCTCAGACCCAAGCAGTCTGCATCAGTATCACAAAGATAATATTTAAAATTCTGAGATCAAAAGATCTACCTCTTTGCAATGGTATTAAGCTCAGTACTTGGACTACTATCCCCTAACTTTCACTTATTATATTCCTAATTGCTACCACCAAATACACAAAGTAAATGTAACAAGAATTATAATCCTCCTGTTCATTTTCTGAATGTCTTAGAATACTTGCTGTTGCAGCAGGAAAGATTTAATAGACATTTTTCGATTGCGGCTTTAAAAAATAGTCTACTTGCTAACTAAGGTCTGAAATATCCATCATTATTCATACACAATCCCAATTTCCTTTCCAATTAAATACAATGTATAAATATATATGACACATGAGTATTTTCAGATAGGTTCCTTTTTTTACAGTTATGGGAGAAGCCAAGAGAATTAACTATTAAAAAACTTCAAAATCATCAGAAGTTTAGCAAGATATACACATTAAAAATCAACATGACAGGGCCGCCTGGGTGGCTCAGTTGATTGGGCGACTGCCTTCAGCTCGGGTCATGATCCTGGAGTCCCGGGATTAAGTCCCACATCGGGCTCAGCTCCACGGGGAGTCTGCTTCTCCCTCTGACCTTCTCCCCTCTCATGCTCTCTCTCACTGTCTCTCTCTCAAATAAATAAATAAAATCTTAAAAAATCAACATGACAAAAAACTGCCATAAAGAGATCATATAGAAATAGTTTTAAGAACTTTACTTTTTCTGTCAGTAAGGCATTCCTTTACCTAAATTTCAAATACTGTGAAAAAGTTGAACCAATAAGATGAATATCTCCACCTACATTCAACGTTGTGAGTCTTCTGCTATAAATGTTATGCTACCTCTTCCCTTTCCCTTTATGTATCAGTTAATTTTATTTTTGGGAAATCCCCATGTAATCAAATACATTAACAGTTCTAAAGAAAAACAGATGACACTAAGTCAGTTAAATACTAAAAATACCCGTATCTAAATTCAGTTCCACTTGCCACTGAATGGGTTCAGACAAATCAGGTGTTATTCCAAATGAAAATTTTTTAATATTTTGGCTTTCAAATTTAAAATTTAAAAATGTAGATAAAGGATGGTGGGCTGTAGTTTAATTCCCATGTTACAGAGGAAACTGGAGCATACAAAGGGTCAATAATTTATTAAAGACTAAAACAAGTAGCAAAACCAAGTACAATGAAAACAGGCAATCTGGGTGCCTGGGTGCCTCAGCTGGTTGAGCGACTGCCTTCAGCTCAGGTCATGATCTTAGAGACCTGGGATTGAGTCCTACATCAGGCTTCCTGCTCAGCAGGGAGTCTGCTTCTCTCTCTGACCCTCTCCCCTCTCATGCTCTCTCCTGACTCTTTTGCTCTCAAATAAATAAATAAAACCATAAAAAAAGGAAAAAGAAAACAGGCGATCTACTCCAGACCCCATACTTGTAATCCCAGCTCCAGGAAGCCTCCAATCCAACAGGAAATCCTTGTGATTTTATCTATCCAGAATAATTCCATAACCCCTAATTCCAATGCTGCCCTAATCTGAGACACCATCCTCTCTCACTGGGTTTACTGCACTAGCCTGCTAACCAAGCTATCTGATTCTTCTATCCGTTTAACGAATAGTAAGAACCAGTGTTCTTCAGCCTACAAGAAACTCCAGGTTCTGTACCCTCTCATCTATTTTCCATCAATGACCTCCCCTACTTCTCTCCCCTCTCTCACACTGCCAGCACACGGCCTTTGTGCTGCTCCTTGTCGCCAGGCATGTTCTCCCTTACGGCCTTGGCACTGACCAGTCCTCCTGCCGGGCACACAGTTCCTTTTGTATCTACATGACCACCCCCTCACTCTTGCAGTATCATTTCCAATGAGGCCCTATACTGTAGACTTTATTTAAAATTGCAACTGCCCCCCACAAAGTAACTGGCTCTCCAAATCCCCCTTTCCTGCTCTAGTTTTTAACATTTACTACCTTCGAATATTCTACACAATTCACTTATTTTTTATTTCCCTATCTCTTATGCTCTTAGATTTTACATGTATATCAATACATCCTAAGCCTTTAAAAAATCATCTAGTACATAGTAAATGCTGAAAAATAATTATTTCCATTGAGACTTTTATGTCAACTTCAACCCAAATACTTTGAGCTATACTTGTCTACATCTCTTATAGTTGTTAGCATTTCTCAGGATCTCACAAAAAGTTATAATTTCAAAAAATGCTTAAATTACATTTTTTAACAGCCAAGTGTTGCATGCTCATGCTTTTACTAAGATTCTTTATGTAGAAATATACTTTATAGACATAGAGAGATGTTCATGACATCACTCAGAGAAGACAGGCAAGAAAGAGTGTATATAGTATGATCACTTATATATGGAAAGAGTATGTATTTGCATTTACAGGTTTTTCTTGTATGATGATATTAGGTATTTTTAAAACATTTCTCCTTTCTGTATATTCGTATTTTCTAATTTTTTCAATAATGAATATGTATTATTTATCTGATTAACAAATACATACACTTCTTTGCCCCCCCAAAATTATCTTCACAATATAATTACCAGCTAAATTCTCACTCTTGCTCTATGAATAAAATATGTATTCACTGTTAATAAAACTGTTTTATAAATGCAATCTAGATTTGTGCTACGAATGTAATTTAAGTGACCATCTACAACTATTTATCTATTTACTTTCTTTACACAAGGGATGATGTGGCTAATTCTTTTGTTTATACAGAGAGTAATGTGGCACAAATGTGCTAAATATTACCACTACATCAATATATCTATGGGAAATCCACATATTCAATCTAACTTTCAGATATTAACTTTGAAATACTCTTTTCAATGGCAGTACTTTTAATAGGCTTTTATATTTGCAGTATAAACTTATAAACATTTCTTTTTTTAATCTTTAAAGTTAGAAGCACAAGTAACATAAATATATTCAACTTGAACTTTGGTTGTTGTTGCTGTGAAAAGTATTAATATTTACTTCAATTGTTCCCTGTTTCAAAAGTATTTAAAGTAATATAATTAACAAAGTAAAGCTATGGATTTAGAAAAACTGTATTCTATATTTTACACATCCCATTTTTTTAAAAACACATCCTTAAAGGCTATCACTATTTTGCTAAAGGAAAATCAACAAAAGAGTTACTTTAATGCCAACTCTTAATTTAGAAAATACATTCATTTTTCAGAAAGTTTTGGAATCCTTGCTTTAACTTTTAAAATGTACACATAAGGGACACCTGGGTGGCTCAGTTGGTTAAGCAGCTGCCTTCGGCTCAGGTCATGATCCCAGCGTCCTGGGATCGAGTCCCGCATTGGGCTCCTTGCTCTGCAGGGAGCCTGCTTCTCCCTCTGCCTCTGCCTGCCATTCTGTCTGCCTGTGCTTGCTCTCTCTCCCTCTCTCTCTGACAAATAAATAAAATCTTAAAAAAAATAAAATAAAATAAAATAAAATGTACACATAATAGTATTGACAACTCTAAGACAAGCTTAATTATGATCAATTACTTTCTTTCCAAACAAAAAACAAATTCAGTTATTGTCTATAAAAGAAAACCTAAATTGGTTTGTAACACTTTTCCATGATCTTAAATCTAGAAAGAAAATATTATTTTTTTAGTATTTATATATATTTATTAATATATTATTTATTAATTATATATTATTTATTTATATATATATTAGTATTATATATTTATATCTGAACTTCTTCGAAATGAAATTTGACTTAGGTTTTTCCAAACTTACATTCCATTCAACAATTTTTTAAAATTACTGCAAAAACTTTACAAAAAAATAAATTCACAAGGGTATTTAACATGAAAGTTTACATACCTTGGCTTCCGAAATGCTAGACTATATTGCTGGCAAGCCAGACCCACAGTGGGGGTATAAACAATAGGCATGAATTTCTCAATGTCAGATATTAGCACACTATAAAAGAGCTTTTCGTTTCTGTCCTGAAGATCCATTAAAAGTAGATACCTGTGGAAATTGGACATAATGAGATCTATATTCCCAAAAGTCATGAAACAGATGCTTAGAAATATAAACATTTTTCATCAAAGTATTTTTTACGTCATATAGAAAACAACTGATCAAAAAAGACTTTAGAAATATTCTTAAACACCTCAAAGAATGAAGAACCATAAACCTGAGCAACTGTCATTCAAACTTTAAAATCATTGCTAAAACAACACAGTTTTATGTAATACCTGGAAAGACTCTATCCCTATTTTAAATTGAAAATACCATTAGGGATATAATTTAAACATTAACTTAACTAAGTAAATAGACTTCATCCTGTAACTTGTAATACTGAATAACCAAGGGAAATGACAAGAAGAAAATAAGGCATTTAGTACTAACCCTAAAAATTACTAAAGTAGGCAAGTTCTTATTGTTTGTATCAAAAGGGGTTTTTCTTTCTAGAGGCATTTCTAACCCAGAGTTCTCTTTCTAAACATCAACCTTATCATGTTACCTGTAAACTTTGATAATTCATAGAATAAAACCCAAACTGCTCACTACAACTTAAAATAGTCTTGCAGAATTGTACTTAATCTTACTAGCCTTTTTAAGTTGATTTCCATTCCCTGGAATAGTTGAAAATGCACAGAATGGAGAGTCAGAGATACAAGGATTCTAATGTTTGGCAAACAGATGGGTTGTACCAAACCCTTAAACATTTGGGAAGATGATGACTTTCAGGCATGTTAAAACTGATTTAGTAATGTGGAAATCATCATTCCTAAATCAATAATCAATTCTCAGACCTCATCTTATTTTACCTGTCAAAACATTGACACAGATGCCCTTCCCTGGAGCTCAATACCCTCTTTTTGCTTGTCTTCTGGGCCATCATATTTTTCTTGATTTTCTCTCTGTCTCACTGCTCATTCCTTTCCTGTTTCTTTGTTGCTTCCTCCTCTTTTCTGAAAGCTCTCTAACGCCCATATCTAATATATAAGGAAAGTATGTTGGCTTTACCTTTAACATATATCCAAAGTCTAAACACCTTCATTGCTACCATCCTGGGTCTAACCTCTTACCTGGATTAATGTGATAGTCTCCTAAATATTCTTCCAGCCTACATTCTATTCTTAACATTGCAGACAGTCTTCTTGAAATATAGGTCAGATCATGTTGATCTTCTGTTCAAAACCTTGAATAGTTTCCATTTCACCCAGAGTAACAACAAAGTCCCTTAGTGGTCTTCAAAGCCATTCATAATCTGTCTTCCCCACTTCCCCTCCCAACCTACCATTCTCCCCTGCCTCATTCTGCTCCAGACACAGCTCTCTGCTGACCCCTGAACACACCAGATGCAGAACATTGTTCCTCAGATTTCCTCATAGTTAATTACCTCACTGCCTTTGATGATTTGCTCATGAATCATTTTCTCAATGAAGTCTTCTCCTGATTGATATAATAATATAACAACACAAACTGACCATCCCAACCCTCAGCATCACCATCCCAACCCTCAGCATTCTCAGCCCTTCTTATCCTACTTTTTTTTTCATCAGCACCCGTCAATTTTTAGCATATTAACTTACTGTTTTACTACTTAGTATTTAATAATTTTTTTAAATAATTTACCTAAATTCCATGAAGGCAAAGACCATGGTCTATAATCCCAGTATCTTAAAGAGCACCTGACAGTCAGTCAGTTGATGCTGAATAAATATTTGAGGAATAGTCTGTGGTAAAACATGAATGTGACCAGCTCTTGGGAGGTAGAGGTAAACGGCCCAGGAAAAGAATATAAAGTGAAAACACCAGAGTCTGAAGGATAGACTTATGGAACAAATGAAAAGGAGTATAAAGGAGTTTAAGAAGCAGCAAACATATACATTAGACAAACAGGTCAGCCTCTTTCCCCAGCTGCCTCTGTCTTCACTAATGAAAGGTAGCCATGGCAGGGGTGGAGGTTATCCATGGGCTCAGCAACATGGACTTCCACTCACCAAAGCTAACCTCGCTACAGACACTCCTGAATACTCCATCTGCAAGAACAGACCAGCCAGTGCTGAACACCTGATATGGCACCACGAGGGGTGATCAGCAATCTACTTGGTGGCAGGTACACTACTTCCCTCATGGAAGGGGTGGTGTTAGTTCTTACTGGAATAGATACTTACTCTGGTTACAGATCTGCTTCCCCTGCAAACAATGCTTCTGCCAAAACTACAGTCCAAGGATTTACAGAATGCCTTAAACACCATTATGGTATTCCGCACAATACGGCTTTTAACCAAAGAACTCAGTGGGCCCATATTCATGGAATTCACCATGTTTCCCACCATCCTGAAGCCACTGGCTTGACAGAACAGCAGAATGGCCCTCTGAAGACTCAGTAATAGCACCAGGTAGGTGGCAACCTGCAGAGCTGGGGCGAGGTTCTCCAGGATGTTGTATATGCAGAGAATCCGTGTCTGCTATATGGTGCTGTTTCTCCTACAGCCAGAACTAAGAGATGGAAATCGGAGTGGCACCACTCCCGATGACCCCCCATGACCCACTGGCAAAATTTCTGCTCCCTGTCCCCATGAACTTACGCTCTAATGGCCTAGAAGTCTTAGTTCCAAAGGGAGGAATGTTTCTACCAGGAGACAATGACTCCACTGAACTGGAGGTTAATACTGCTGTTAGCCACTTTGGCCACCATACACCTCTGAATCAACAAGCAAAGAAAAGAGTTACTGTGCTAGATGGGGTGACTGATCCTGACTACCAAAGGCAAGCTGGACTGCTACTTCATCATCATCATCATCATCATCATCATCATTAGTATTAGTATTATTTAAAGATTTATTTATTTATCTTAGAGAGAGAGAGACAGAGAGAAGAAGAGACAACACAAGCAGGAGGAGGGGCAGAAGGAAAGAATCCTCAAGCAAACAGCCAGCTGAGCAAGGAGCCCCATGCGGCGCTCGATCCCACGACCCTGAGATCATGACCTGAGCTGAAACCAAGAGTCGGCTGCTCAACTGAGTGAGCCACCCAGGCGCCCCATCCACTCCATTTTTATTATTAATCTTCAACCCCCAGCAAAAAGGAATGCCTTTGGACTGGACTCCCTTTGGACTGGAACTGCAACTCATCCCTTGGTTTCCAGCCTGCCACTCCACCTACAGATTTAGGACTTACCTAAGCTCCATAATCATGTGAGCCAATTCCTTAAAAATAAGTAAATAAATAAATAATCAGTCAGTCAGTCACTCAGTCTCTTTACATAGAACCAGCAGGATATGTGTATATTTTGGTCTTTTTCTCTGGAGAACCCTAATACAAATACTTACTAGGCATGGGTTTGTTACTTCTTCCAAACTTTGCAATAATATTTTGAAATAACTATTATTTCTTTAAATCCACCAATAAAAAACCTCAGGTTTAGAGAGTTTCAGTGCCTTAATAGGAAAGGGCCAAGCCACAAGTACAGGGCACAGTAGACACCAGTCATGGCAATGGTTGCAATAGGTGGTTTGCTTAAGGCCCCTCGTGAAACCCAACCAGAATTTCAACTGAAGACTACCCAGTTCAAGGTAGGGAACAGTATTACCTTCATCTTTGTGCAGACACAGAAACTGAGTTCTAAAAGTAAGTGACCCAAATCTGCAGTAGTGTTAGAACCAAGCTTGGAAGTGGGAAAAGTGTGCTTTTTATCTATGATGAGCTTAAAGTCTTGACTGAAAGCTGCTATGTCCTGTTTTATTCTGTGTGAAAGGGCATTTCCTGATAACTCACCTTCACAGCAACCATCTGATCACAAAGGAAAAGTAGTCTCTTTGAGGATATATTTAGAAACAAAAATTTTCTATTATTCGAATGTTCTTACCAAGGGTAAATTTTTATTAAAACATCATTGTACTTATGGGGCACCTGGGTGGCTCAGTTGGTTAAGTGTTTGCCTCTGGCTAAGGTCATGATCCTGAGGTCCTGGGATTGAGTTCCACATTGGGCTCCCTGCTCAGCGGGGAGTCCGGTTCGTCCTCTCCCTCTGTTACTCCCCCCTGCTTGTGATCTCTCATTCTCTCTCTCTCAAATAAATAAAATCCTTAAAAAGGGGTTGCCTGGGTGGCTCAGACGGTTGAGCATCTGTCTTTGGCTCAAGTCATGATCCCAGGGTCCCAGGATCGAGCCCCACATTGGGCTCTCTGCTCAGCTGGGAGCTTGCTTCTCCCTCTCCCCCAAACCCGTTCATCTAGCTCTCTCTCTCTTGCACTCTCTCATGCTCCCTCTCAAATAAATAAAGTCTTTAAAAAAAAAAAAAAACTTAAAAAAAAACATAGTATTTATAGGTAAATTCTCAAACTTAACTACTCTCTCCAAATCACTAAATATTTTAACTTTCTCATTCAATTAGAAAAATAAACTAGACAACTGCCTAAGAGAAATATAAAAATCATCTTCAGGAATGTGTTACCTGTCAAAGTCAGAGGTCAGACGCTCAAAATTTTTAATTACTCTAAGAACCTGGATGTCCTGACTGATGAAGCAAGGTGGCAACAATCCATGAATATTCAACTGCTGTCTCTCTTCCAGGGTAAAAGCCAAGTCCTATGGAGAAAAGAAAAACACAATAATTTGAAGGGAATAAAAACCAAAACCTATATACATATACCTACACATAAAGTCCAACAAATACATGGAATTAAAAATTAAAAATCAGAATTAAAAATACATGGTATTATCTAAATATTGGCCATTCAATTGTGAGATCATGTCATCTCTCAATACCTCAGCTTCTCATCTTTCAATATTAGAATACTATAATATTTTCAGATCTGTGTCATTCATATTGTCAGTTTTGAAATTAGGTAATGCAGAAAATGATGTAAAGATATGCAAATGAAAGATATAAATATTAATAATGTTATCCAATACATAAATGAGTTGGAATTATAAGAGATTTTAAAATTATGAACATGAGTAGGTCATCTATAACCTGCTGTGCCTTCCCCTATAAAACAGATTTTAAAATGCCTTACATATGATTGAAGCACCTGTTCCAACACTTGTCTCTCAAATTATCTCCTACTATTCTTTTTTTTTCAAGTTGATGCTTTTTTTTTAAGATTCTATTTATTTATCTGAGAGTGAGAGAGCACGCACGCATGAGAGAGAGAGTACACGCACATAAGGGCACAAGCACAGGAGTGGCAGAGGAAGAGGGAGAAGCAGGCTCCCCGCTGAGCAGGGAGCCCAATGCGGGGCTAGATCCCAGGACCCCAGATCATGACCTGAGCCGACAGCAGATGCTTAACTGACTGAGCCACCCGGGCGCCCCATCTTCTACTATTCTTATTATACTCTCAGCTACACAAAATTTTTCACCGTTGCCTGAACACAGCAGTCTTTTACTCTTTCATTACACCATGGACAAAAATGTTTTCCTTGCTTTTCTGCCTTTGAAGTCTAACCTCAAATGCTCCCTCTTCTCTAAAGCCTTTCCAGACTTACCCAATATGCCCATTAGAACCCTGTTATTATTCTATGTTATTTGTTTACAAGAACACTCACTGTTTTATAAAACCTGAGGCTTGAAACCAAGCAAAGAAATATAACTGATGGGTGGAATCAAAAATCCAGAATGGACCAAAGAGATTTGCTGGAACATAATGTGAAGGGAAATAATAGCAGAAAAACCTCAGTAGTCATTAATCTGGGAGAACCGGATGAACAGTTCCCCTGGAGAGGACTCTCCCTGCAGCTACCAAAGCCGGGGGTGTCTCTGAGTAGACTGACGACTGTTCCCCTGGGTCTGGCAATAGTGTGCCAACATGATAATGGTTATGTCCACTCACTGTAAACGTGCCTGATGCTTCTTAGACAACCAGGATGGTACAACGTGTTCACTAAATTTGCACTGGGTGCTAACTGGTGGGTGATTGCACCCATCTCCTCTGCCCCTGAAAGCTTCCTGCAATGGCAGAAGAGTGACTCCTGAGTATTACTCTGGGAGAAAGACAATTTGGCTCATCCTGGAGGTAGATGACACAACCAGCCTCAGAAAGTAGGTGAAGAAGATCAACAGACAAACCACTGTTTCTTCCAATTTTTTATATGTTTAGGCCCATTAATTCATGTCACTGGCGGAAAGCTTTATGTTTGATTCAACTCCTGGGTCGGGGGCAGCCTGAAGAAAGTCAAATAGATTTGTCCCCTGGGTGACCCCTGGTGGAGCTTTCTAAATTCCAACAAGGGCGAGCTGGGACCAGTGGAGAACCTCCGGACAAGAAACTGCTTACAATCTTGACTTCTCAGAAGGTCTCCAAATGTCTCAGCACAGGTGGTGTCCAGTTCCCAGTAAAAAATCTCAACAATACGTGAACATACGTAAAAAGTAGTAAACTCCTAAATATTATGCCTTAAAAATCTGCCTGCAAAATAATAATCAAAATTATCAATATTCTGAGAATAAGGCTTATTATCAAAAGCACTAACATATGCTCCTGCATTCACTTAATACTGGCACTTAATCATTTATTGGTATATTAGTTCTTCTTTTTACATAAATTTCCCATTGTTGGTCTGACCTATCAGGTCTCCTGTATCTTTTGCCATGTAAATGACTAGCTATCTTTTGCTATCCTTGGATAGTTAGTAACTACAAACACCTCACACTGTTAGCCAAATAGTCTATGGCATAATAAAGTGTCAGTTCAACTCTTAAACAATAATAACCACCAAAAACAAAATTTTAAAAAAAAAACAAACTTGGGATTAAACATCTGGGGAACTAGGCCAAGTTATTGGGTCCTATTACTACTCTATGAATTAAAAAAAAAAAAAAGGTAAGTCAGTGAGTCAGCAAACTTAAATCTTAAAATCCCTGAAAACTTAAAAATACATTTGGCATACAAATATGCCAAATACATTATGACTTCACTTAAACCAGTGTTTAATAATGACACATCAATGTGATTCCTACCAACCAGCAGCTCCCCAGAAAGTATTCAGAGGAACAGTAAGTAGAATCTTGAAATATTTAATAATCCTGGCTCTTTTAATTTTTAATACTAACAGAGATATGTTCATATATATTTTGTAGAGATCATACACAGTAGCTTAATACATTCTCCTTATTAAACACTAGCTTAATACAGTGAAACCCTAGCTTAATACATTTTCCTCATTAAAAGCTGATGTGACAAATATCTGTTTCAAAGATATTCTTACCTTAGAGTTATGCAATGGGGGTTATCCAACAAAGGATAGTGTATCCGACATATACATGCAGCTTCTAACTTTCATTTGATTCCTTCTGAGTCTTTCATGTCATTAAAGTTTAGACCTCTGTACATATATTAAGTTTCCAGACCACCTATAATTCTAATTCCCTAAAAGCTTTCTCGTACACCCTAGGTTCAACCCTGGTTTTCTCATTTTCTATCTTTCTTTTACTTTCCCTCCTCCTTACAAAACCTTTTGGACTAGATCCCTAGACAGCAGAATGGTATGCTATTTCACCACAGAGGACAGCACACAGGACAACCATTCTTCTGGGCTCTACTAATTGCTTTATGTATATCTTCTTGAGAAAACTGAGACTATCGAGCAGAAATGAAAACAAAATTCCTAGCATAACAAGAGACCTATATTAGAAATTGTGTTTGCACCTGAGAAAGAAACTTTGTCCTGAGTAATTTATCAGAAATGATTACCATAAAAGCAGAACAGATACAACCTGAATTCCGCACTAACCATCTTTTTTTTTTTAAATATTTTATTTATTTATTTGACAGAGAGAGATCACAAGTAGACAGAGAGGCAGGCAGAGAGAGAGAGAGAGAGAGGGAAGCAGGCTCCCTGCTGAGCAGAGAGCCCGATGCGGGACTCGATCCCAGGACCCTGAGATCATGACCTGAGCCGAAGGCAGCGGCTTAACCCACTGAGCCACTCAGGCGCCCCCCGCACTAACCATCTTTAATGTTTGCAATAAGCTTCAGTAATTTGTCTTGTTTTTTTCCAGAATAAGGACTCAAAGTAATCAAGTGGAATGGCAAAAAGGAAAACACTGCCTAAATCACAAAAATCTTTAATCTATATATGAATAATTCATTGTAATGTTTGTTTTTATTATTTATTATTCTGAAATAGAGATCAAAGTGAGATTTAGCTTTAAATGTCAATATTTTGAAATGTTTTATAGTCTGTTTTATAGTTTTATAAATATAAATGTTTTATTGTTTATGTGCATATTCTATGCCTATAGAAAGAGAAGTTATTCTAATTTGTCTTGGACATATATTGAAGGGTTCTTTCCCCTAAGTCCTCCAGACTGCTAATTATTGTTCTTTGAAATTAGCTGTTTAACTATATAGAAAATGACTTCTAGAACTTTCCTGGGGTATGTAACCTCATTTCTTCAAAAAACCAGTCAGCCAGATGGAATACACATTTCCAAGGTAAAGTTTTCAAATGATTATTTTGCATGCATTCAGCTGTGCAACCAAATCCTCTAGTGATCATATCCTGTAAGAGGCAGAAAATCAATTATTTAAAACTAATAATATATTAACAACAGCTTCTTTAAGAAAAACATTTGGTGCCATTACACAGCAATTAATTTTTACTCATAGTTTATATAGAGTAATTTAAACTGGTAGAAGTAATGATTACAAAAATAAATCTAAAATATACTCGGTCTTAAAGGGAGGGAAAAATAAAATAAGATGAAATCAGAGAAGGAGATAAACCATAAGAGACTCTTAATCGTAGGAAACAAACAGGGTTGTTAGAGGCAGGGGAGAATGGGGTAACTGGGCGATGGGTGATAGGCATTGAGGAGGGCACTTGATATAATGAGCACTGGGTGTTTGTTTTTTAAAAGATTTTATTTATTTATTTGACAGAGAGAGAGATCACAAGTAGGCAGAGAGGCAGGCAGAGGGAGGGGGAAGCAGGCTCCCCACTGAGCAGAGAGCCCTACGTGGGGCTCGATCCCAGGACCCTGAGATCATGACCCAAACTGAAAGCAGAGGCTTAACCCACTGAGCCACCCAGGTGCCCCAGCACTGGGTGTTAAATGCAACTGATGAGTCACTAAATTCTACCTCTAAGTGTTAATTAATTGAGTTTAAATCATATACAAACATATATATACATATATATAGTTGGCCCTAGATGCCCTAAAATTTAGAGCAAAATCTCATAACCATAACACCTAGAAATCATTTCATCTAGGTATTATAGGATATTAGCAAGTATAACTATTTTGTAGTTTAAGTGACATGTTTCCTTAATTAATGAAAAGAAAGAGCATCTCTACCTAAGGGAGCAAATGGATTTTTAAAATATTGGATGAGAGGTTTAACTAAATTGTTTAATTATTTCTCACTTAAAACTCAGCAATTACTAGTCTTTGTAGATTCCTTATAAGGCTGAGAAATCGTTAACCATCAATGTTAATAATACATTTTCCAAATATAGCTCTTAAAATCATTAATGAGATTTTTAAGTTCTTGGGGCACCTGGGTGGCTCAGCTGGTTAAGCATCTGTCTTTGACTGAGGTGGAGTTTCGGGGGTCCTGGGACTGAGGCCTGTGTCAGGCTCC